ATACTAGTGACCAGCTGGGTTGTCATCGTCAAAGCTCTTTCCCTGCTGATCCTGATTTTGGTGCTGCGATGATGATGATGATGAAGATAGATGTGGAGGAAGAGGTTGATCAGCCATGATATTTGAAGTGTAATATGACAAATCAACGTCACCGGTGAGTAGCTGTGCATAACGAAGCAAATCTTGCTGGTAAGAAACCTGTGACCATGGCTCCTGAGAATCTGCTACATCAACTGGGTTTTGGTTAGCCATGACTGTAGTAGTAGCTGTAGTAGTAATATCAGCGACTGGTGTGAAAGCGGTGAGCTCAGTATTACCAGCTTGAACGAGTTCGGGAAAATTCAGCTTAGCTTTGTTGCCCTTAAACTTTAGGGCTGCCCTATCGTAGGCAAGGGCAGCGTCTTCCGCCGTCTCGAAAGTCCCTAGCCAAACTCGGGCTGCCTTCTTAGGATCACGAATCTCAGCTGCCCATTTGCCCCATGGTCTTTGTCTTACTCCTCTATAATGCCTCCTCATTGATTGATCTTCACAAACATGGTCATAAATATATAGTAAAGCCATTACAGTAACACATAGTACTCTACGTGTATTCTTTTATGTATATATGTATATACTCATATGCATGTCATTTCAACAAAGAGATCCAGTCTCCGGCCGCTGGCTCGGTCATGTCAGAAATAAGATGCATTATTTTACATGCATGCACGCACGCTGTCCAAGGAATTGATCTACTTTAGGACTAGTGGGGCATTGCTAGAATTGTATATGTGTCTGTCTGTATATGTGCGTGTGTAATATCATATATATAGCACGGAGTGATGATGATCAGTACCAGAAAGTAACTCGCGGAAAGTGCTTACTTTGTAATGAACACTCGTTGTCATTTCTGTGCTGGCGGCCCCCTCGCTAGTTTTGCAACATTTTACTCACATATACACACACAGACACACATATATATACATATCTATATATATATATATATATATGAAAATGACACTAGACGAATGTTGTTTCCAAATTATGTATTATAGGCTTCCGGGTAGATTTATAAAACATGCCTCTTACTTGATGTGTACATATATATAGACACGTGCATAATTAATTAGGAGATGTTTACGGTCCTACATATATAAGAATTATGTGTCTGTCTAGTCTTGGAGTAATTATTAGTTGCTTCCTAAAGAACCGTTGCTTCTGACAATTGTGTTGAAAAAACTTATTAATACAATTCATTAATAAATTGAATTATGGAATCCATATTATTATAAACATAGCATTTACTTGAAGGTTAATCTCTAGAATAGCTGCTTCTAATTCCCCTCTTCTCAAAAAAAAAAAAAAAAAAAAAAAAGGATGGATTAATTTGAACTCAAACCGTCTAATCCTATAATATTATTATATGAAAGTCATCTTATCTGAATTAAATATTATTAACAAAGAATTTTCAAAATGATGATGAAGTACTGTTCAAACACAGATATCTACAAATGTAGCCAACCCATGGAGTGATAAAAAATTATGAAAGTGAGAAAATAAGGTTCATGGTCAAAGACGGAACTGATAATTATTACAATCTACAAGTAGATCGCCTGTTATACTATAAACACGTATATATATATATATGTAATGGGTAGAAAGAGGATGAAACTCAAAGGTGCAAAATGGGGTGTTTGTTAGGTAAGAAACCATTAGTTGAAGTTGAAGAAAAACAAAATAAAGAAAGAGATTATATTTGGCAGTAGCACAAAAACATGTGGTATGGTGGTGGCTGAAATCTAGAAACAAACATTGAAAGAATGTCCATGTTTAGACAGTACAATGATTTCAATTTTAAAGAAAGACAAAGACAAGTTCTTTACGGAAAGTAACAATATACATTGAATTTGGCAAGCTAACCCTAAAACTTTTTTCTTTTTTTTTTTTTTTTTTCTTTTCCGATCTATATTTTTTTTTCCAATTGAGATTTAGATAGATGAAGAACCAAATCAATCCATTTACACCGTCAAGTACAATTTTAATACCCATTGAGCAGAAAGCTTTGACGAAATTATATCCATACATATATATATATATATATATAGTGAATTGCCTAAGTCTAGGACAAATTAAACACGTAACTTCTAACAAAACGCATATCTTGCAATGACGAAACAGACCCAGAAAAAAACTGAAAAAAGAAATTTAAAAATACAGGAGTAAAAAATGTTTACCTGGACATGATTGAGGTATTTCTCGTTTGCCGGACGATGATGATTGAGGCGCAGGTTGGTTGTGCGCGCCGGCGGTTCCGATGACTTGAGTGAGAGCTGAAACCATGGCGGACACGTCAGATTCAGACCAAGAAGGGAAGTTATTATACTGGTTTTGATCTTCTTCTTTCGCTTTCTCCTCCGATGCTTCGTGTTGAAGCGGGCGCTTTCCATGTCTCCGATCCACCTTTACTTAATTTTATGTTAGGCAAAGAAATGGTAGTGCATGAAGACGATTTTGGGTTCTAGCGATATGAACGTTTCAGTTGTTTGGGTTTCAGAGATTTAAGTTTTAAGAGAGGGATTTTGCCGATCCAGGATTTTTTTCGAAGATGATGTGGTGTGACTGGTTTTCGCCAGCAACCCCCGTGTGTGTGTGTGTGTGTATATATATATTGTGTGTGTGTAGAGTGAGAGGGGGGGGGGGGGGGGCGAGGGGAAGGGAAGGGGAGGCGGGGAAACATAGGGGTGGAGTGTGGAAAAGGCTTTTTATTTTATCACCGGTTATTTTTTATCTTATCTTTTTATTTTGGTAAGTTAAGATATTAAATTTTAGGAAATAATAAATTATTATCTTTTATAGTTAGTGTGTGTGTGTGTAAGTAAAATTTCGAAATGATATTTGCTAATTTTTCCTTTTTTAAAAATAATTTTCTGTTTAAAATAAATGTATAATAATTTTTTATTTGAAAACAATTCAATTTTTGTTTGACTACAAATTATGAAGTAAGTAATTTTTTAATATAAAAATAAGATTAATATCATAATGTACATAATAGTTATTAACTTAAATTTTTTAAATTTTATATATATAATATAATATTTAAGTTTATATATATTTAATAATTTCTAATAAATAAAAATTATTTATGCGTTTTGTACAAACTTGTTGCAATCCTGAGTTAAAATAACAATTAAAATTAAAACTTGGAAATCCAAATGAAGGATTTTTTTTTTTTTTTTTTTTTTTCTCTTTTGGTTAATCTTCTGTAAATTTCAATCGCATTTCTCAAAATTCCTTCCTCTAATTTCAGCAAAGTTTCATTCAATTTTATTAAGATTTCATGTGCATTTGATTTAGATAAGTTTCATTCAACAAAAAAAAATTAATTCTTAAACGGTACATAATCACTACAAGATTTAATAAATGTGTCTGAATTAATTAATAATTTAATAGTGATTAATAAAATTATATATAAAAATTCTTTTCGCATAAAATTCTTCAGAATATTTGCAAAGTAATGTACAGAATAATTATAAAATATTTTTTAAAAATAAATATAAAATTCTCATAATATCTTCAAAATTAAGTCATATCAATTATATATTACGTAAAGGTATTCTCAATTGGTTTTAATGATTAATTTTATTAGTGCAATCAAAGCATGCAGTCTCATCTTCAATACATCGTCATCACTTAAGGATATATATTCTATTTAGAATTTTGCTGCCATATCACATCAAATTAACAGTGAACTTACGCTAACCTGTACTTATGACTGAATCCTCACAAGGACCTTACTTTTTTAACATATATTTTTATATTAAATAGAAATTCCAACATCCGTCATATATTACATAATATACAAATGTTAAAGTTTTAGGACTAAACATCCTTTAAAATTAGGAAAAATTTTAAAAAATACTTATTGATTTTGATTTTTGTTAATTTTTAATGAATTATTTTGAATAGATTGTTTCTCCTTTAATTAATTTTATTAATTACGGATTGATAAATTTATTTTTTGTTTTAATATTAATTGATTTCTATTAATTTTTTAACTACATTATATTTTTTTAAAAAAAAAATTATTCATTTCAGTTCACCCCTTACAATTTCCTTTTTTTTTTTTTTTTAAACTCTCGAGTCTATTTCTCAATCTTGAAGTTGATCTGACCGACTCTAATTTTGGACCAAACGAGCACTCTATTTTCAGTTGAGCATTCCTACTCTTAATTACCATATTAACCCAAAACTTCTAGTACATATATAATTTAATTCTTAAATCTCTTTCACTATGACTTCTGGCACATGACTCATGGGCCTAAGACAGCCCAAACTAGATCCAGTAGAGATAAAAAGAGAAGAGAAAGAAGAGAGAGAGAGAGAGAGAGAAGAAGAAAAAGAGAGAAAGGCGAGTAAACCCATGAGGAAGAGGGTGAACTTGAGGGATTTTGGGAATTTTTTCTTGAGGAAACTTTGCCTAAATAATATGAAGAAGAGAGAAGAAGGGAGAATAAAGATAAAAAATCAAAGAAAAGAGAGGAAAAGAGGGAGGAAGCTTACGACCAACACAAGGGAACCCATGAACTTAACGTAAAAAATTCTCTTTTATTTGAATTATGTTTCTCTTGAAATTTTAAGGATAATTTTTGAGTGATGTGAGAGAATTTTTTTTTAGGTTAGAATTTGCTCAAAAATATCTTGGAGCTCTTGCAAAATTCTGAGTGAAAGAATAAATTAAAAACTAAGTCCAGACTTATTGGAGTTAAGACTTACATGAGAGAAATTTTTGAGTGATGTGAGAGATTTTTTTTTGGTTAGAATTTGCTTAAAAATATCTCGAAGCTCTTGCAAAATTCTGCAATAGGATACAAGGTAAGAACATTTGAAACCATTTTTTTATAGATGTAATTTTTATATGGAGAAAGTATTTTTGAGTTAAAAATTAGTAATATTTCTGAGAAGAAACTATTTCGATAAGAAATTACCAAAAGAAAAATTGAGAGGAGACTCTACCAAAAGTTCAATAAGAAGTTGAGATAAACTAAGGGGAGACTTCACCTATTTGAAAATAGAAAATTAAAATTTTCATAAGGGGAGACTTTACCCATGAAAATAGGAGAATTTAAGATTCTATAGGGAGAGAGTCTGCTAAATTGAGTAGAGAAAATTAAAGATTGTATAAGAGGGGACTCTCCAAAAATTAAGATTTACGTAGAACCTAATATAAATGGATGTTATAGCATCTAGCAATAGTATGTTTTGAAATTATTTTATGAAAACACTAATATTTTTATGAAATGTAAAACATTATACATTGCAGTGATTGGTGTCTATTGTGTAAAGACCCCGGGAATTTAAATAAAATATATGTATTAAAAATGTCAAATGCGGAAGCGTAATAAAAATTTTGATTAGCATCCCTTACACAGTAAGTAAAACATACTCAAAACATGAAAGAACAAACTAACATAAAAGAGATACTCGAAATAAGAACTATAAATATAGCTATGGAGTTTTTAGGCGTCCCCTTCGCCGTCTTCCTGCGGAACGGGCTCGAGAACAATGTCTTTCTGATCTGAAATAGTTAAATAAGGAATGAGCTACACTAGCCCAGTAAAGACATCACACTATCTTACCGCCACGGAAGTAAAGGTGGGTAGAAAATAAAATGACCAATGGAGCATAATTTATAATAAATTCTTTTATCAATAATAAAATCTTTTACTGTCTACTTACCTCAGCAGGATCCATGAAAACAATATATGAAAATAATAACCTTACAATATCATGAAATCATATACACTTTATAACACAACATATATCACACCTTTACATTTCAATCATCCGGAAACAAATTTCCTCTTTTACCAGCCTACTAGTATCCCTAGGGATCCATAGGGGGTCCCCTCTACACGTGAATCATTAACATTTATAACCTGATTCCAGGGCCGTCCCCATAACCCGTCCGGTATGGGAGCCAAAACCATGAACCTCAATACCCCGTCCGATATGAGGGCGAAACGGGCCGTTCCCATACCCCGTCCGGTATGGGCGCCAAAACACATAAGGTCTCCATACCCCGTCCGGTATGAGAGACCACATTCCCGGTAGGGTTCTCTACGGACCC